AACTGAAATTATACATTAAAAATACATTCATAAATTAACTATATTTATAACACTCATCGACACTCTCTTTCTCCTGGCTAAAATATTACTTATCTATCTATTCGGCTCTGTTCCGTCTATTTTTTGCCTTTAGCCTACTTCTGACACTTCCATTCGTTCTTATTCAGTGTAGTATGCATAGTTTTCGGAATATCAAGTGTTATACCTATCTGATGCTTGGTCCTGCAAAGTTCATCTTCAGTACACCTGCTTATGTGACATCTATCTCGATGTCAAGTTTGATTGAACACCCGTTTCTTGCCTATTACTCTTATACTTAACCAGAACTAGCTTAGACTCGAACGCATGTCTAATTCGGCCAAAACACAGCCTTGGTACACAAATATTTATTTTAACGCTGGTTTCATTACAAAAAACTGGAGTAAAGGGTAAAATTATCTCTTGTCCAGTACACTTGTATACACTTGAGTATTAGCCTATATTATTTTTGATTGAAGACGTATGCATTTAAGAATGTCGTTTACTTAAAAATAAACATTTAATTTTGATATTTCATTTAACTCAATTAAAACAGTAAATTATTATTTTCCATTTATACAGTATGGTTCAAATGAAAGGAATAATTTCATTATAATGGAAGTAGTTGGTTTTTCGAAAAAATGCTCGCATAGGTCAATTTTGTTTACTCAAAGAGCAATTTTTTAAATAGAATTCGATTTTCCCCCACTTCACATTTTTGGGCAGTGACGTCATTGACAATTTTTTTAAATAGTAACCCCAATTTTTTTTTCTTGATTTTGATAGATCTTGCAATTTCCTACTCGGAAACATAATATTTGAAATATCTTACATAACAATTTTTTTTGAATAAAAGACTTTTAAAGATCAGACACATAAATTTTATTTTATTTTGAGAACACAATAAATGAATAAAAGAATTATTTGTAATTAAGTGCTTAATCTGACAAAATAATTAATAATAATAATAAAAAAGAATTTGTGAAATTGTCAATTCTTTTTATTATTATTATTAATTATTATTATTATTATTATTATTATTATTTTTTTTTTTTTTTTTTTGTGAGCTTCGACTGCCGGGGTCATTAGCTCTTTAACTATTATATGGGTGTAAATATTATATTTTCTTGTAAATACCACTCAATTTTAAAAAAGTAAGTAATTTTTGTGTTGAGTCTTTTTCAGTTTTTAAAATGTTTTCTATTTCAGGGGACATGATTCCACTTTGACGTCTATAAGGTTCATAACTTGGACATGTGAAAAGGTGTTGCACTGTTAATCGAATTCTACATATTTCACATCTTGGTCTTGCCGAACCCGCTAAAAGATATAGGTGTGTAAGGTTTGTATGTCCTATTCGGATTCTACAAAGTGTTACTTGCTCTCGCCGAGATAATTCTTTTGGGTAGAACCATTTTTTGGTGAGGGCTTAATTCTTTTAAGTTGTCCATCATATCCATTCTACTCATGTTGCCATACATTTGTTAGTTCTCGTTTTATAAATTTTTTGACATCCTCTATTGGAACTGGAATACCTTTGTCCACTCTGGCGATGGTAGCATCTTTGGCTGCAGAGTCTGCTATTTTATTTCCGGTTATATTCACGTGACTTGGAACCCACATGATGGTAACTACTTTATTTATAGACGTCAGGTAAGTATAAATCTCTAAAATTTTAACAGCCCAATCATTTAATGTGAAACGGTTTTCCAAGGCTTTGATAGCACTTAAAGAATCCGTACAAATAAGGCATTGTGTGTTCTCTTGGAAAGAAAAATATATCATAGCTTGCCATATTGCATATAATTCAGCTGTAAAAATGCTGCACATCGGATTAAGCGTCCAATGGTAAGGTTCATTGTTTACTACAAAGGCGGAACCAATCCCGTTTTCTGAAAGAGATCCGTCTGTGTATATATTCAAGTGTCCAGTGTACCTTTGGATTTGTTCAGAAAAAAGACAACGATAGGTAAGCGGTGATGTATGTTCTTTCTTCCATTTGCTTAGAGATAGGTTGATATTTGGAATCTTTCTCAACCAGGGTGCAATGCTTTGGTCGTTGTGTTTTTTGAAGATATTATTTTCAAGATTGAAAGAGTATTTAGTAGTTGTCTCTAAATATCGGATGTTTATCGGTTTTGTAGAAGTTTGTCTATATGTATTTTCCATGTTTATGAAACACTGATGATTCAAATGGTTTGGAGTGGATTGCACTTTCGCTCCGTACGTAATCATACTCATCTCTCTTCGTAATTTTAGAGGTATCGAGGAGGATTCTGTCAAAATTGCTTGTATTGGGCTTGTTCGAAAGGCGCCAGTGGCTAGGCGTATTGCAGTGTTTTGGATTCTGTCAAGGACTTTTAGTTTAGATGGTCGAGCAAAACCGTATACGATGCACCCATAATCGATTTTGGACAGGACCAACATTTGATAAATTCTAAGTAGAATTTCTCTGTCAGAGCCCCAGTTAATGCTGGATATACATTTTAAAATATTAATGACTTTGCGGCATTTTGCCTCTAAGTAATGTATATGTGCCGCCCAATTTAGTTTATTATCAAAATAAATACCTAGTAATTTTGTTTGCTCTTGACATTTAATTCGTTTACCTCCTAGATACACTATAGGGTCGAGGTGTGCTGTTCGTAATCTGCAAAAATGTACCATATGTGTCTTTTCCGCTGAGGATTTAAAGCCGGTTAATTTTGTAGATTCTTCTACCCTATTGATTTCCAATTGGAGATTATATTCTAGGGCTTCCATAGAGTGGTGTCGGCTAAAAATGGTAAGGTCGTCAACGTACAATACGGACTGAATATTTTGGGAGATGTTACAGACAAGGTGGTTGATAGCGATTGAAAAAAGTGTTACACTAAGAACTGACCCCTGGGGAATTCCGTTTTCCATGGGTCTTTCCGTTGATTCCCAGTTACCAATCTGTACTGAAAAAGTTCTATCAGCAAGAAAACATGCTAAGACTTTGGGTAAGTTTCCGCGAAAATTCCACATGTATAATTGATTTATAATACTATGTTTCCAGGTAAGATCATAGGCTTTTTGCAGGTCAAGCATAACTGCAACGAGGTGTTGTCTTTCTTTGAAGGCTTCTTGGATTTCCATTTCAAAAGCACTAAGAGCATCAATGGTGGAACGATTTCGGCGGCAGCCAACCTGTCGTTCAGAGAGAAAGTGATTGGATTCTAAAGCCCAGGTAAGTCTTAAGTTTATCATTTTCTCAAACAATTTTCCCAAACAAGAAGTTAAAGAAATTGGACGGTAATTTTTTGGGTCAGATGAAGCGACACTATCTTTTGGGATCGGGACAATAATTGCTTTTTTCCAGTTCTTTGGAAACGTGTTGGAAAGCCAAATTTTGTTATAAAATTTCACGAGATTTATCTTGGACTCGTGAGGCAGGTGTCTTAGCATTCCATAAATAATTAAGTTATGACCCGCGGCACTTTCTTTACAAGTGCTAAGGGCATGTTCCAATTCTTCTTTCGTGAAAATGGCATTATAATTTAGGTCACTGTCAGAATTAAAATCTAGATTTTCTCTTTCTTTTTGTGTTTTCAGACTCTGAAATTCTATGTCGTAGTTCGTTGAACTACAGAGAAATTGGAAACTATTAGCAAAAGCTTCGCTTATATCTGGAATTTCTGTAATTATTTCACCACGAATATTTAGTGCCTCTGGGGTTATATGCTTATTTTTCCCTGCTATCGTTTTAATTTTTCTCCATACCTCGGAAGTAGAGGTATCTATAGTTAGCGATGAGACATAATCCTGCCAAGAATTTCGCTTGGATTCTTTAATTAATAATTTAGCTTGGGCTCTGGCTCTTTTAAATAAGATTAAATTGATATCTGTGGGATATCGTCGAAATTTATTTAATGATTTTTTTCTAGCAGATACTACTTCTCGGATGTTTTCATTCCACCAAGGAACTTCTTTAGATGATCTTTTGTTTCTAGATTTTGGAATGTTTTTTTCTGCAGCCTCCAAAATAGCTTTGGTAATATTATCTACTGCTTCGTCAATATTATTAAAACTATTTGGGTCAGGTATAGAAACAGAACTAAAAAATCCATCCCAGTTCGCTTTATTAGCTAACCATCTCTCTGCGAAGTTAAATTCTTGGGGAGGGGTGTCTACACTTATTACAATGGGGAAATGATCGCTAGAATGTAGATCGTCCATGGGTTCCCATGTGAATCGTGGAGCAATGTTTGGGGACACAAAAGTTAAATCCATAGCCGAAAAAGAGTTTGACCTTAAATTAAAATAGGTAGGTTTTCCATTGTTCAGGAGGAATATATTTTCTTCTTCTATGAGTGTTTCGACACGTCTACCACAGGTATCCCTCATTTGGGAACCCCAAAGTTGGGAGTGTGCATTAAAATCACCTAAAAACATGACTGGTTCTGGGAGTTGGTTGAATAAATTCTTCAACTCATGCACGGTCCAATGATAATTGGGAACATAAAAGTTGCAGATCGTGAGTTTTAGCGGTGTTTCAATTTGAATGGCTACAGCTTGTAACCTGGTATTTAATTTTATTTCTTTTGCAGGAAACGTGTCTTTTATAAAGATGGCAACCCCACCTCTTGCTCTAAGATCAGGTTGTACATCTTTACGGAAACATTGGAAATTTCTGAGGGTGAAACGTTCATCCGGTTTTAAGTGGGTTTCTTGTATGGCTAAAATTATTGGTGATATGTTACTTTTTATGAATTGTAATTCGGAAAGATGTAATTTGATTCCATTACAATTCCATTGTAATATATTTGTGTATGTGTTATTCATAATTGTACATAAAATTAAAAAAAAATATATGTTTGAAAATATTAAAATAACATATGTAAATAAATAAGATAATATAGGTTAATAAATAAGATAATGTATGTAAATAGAATATGTAAATGTATATATAATATGTAAATAGAGTATATATGTAAAATAATGAGTAAGTAGTATCACAGTTAATTGTCTTCTGCTGAAGTATGACCAAGCGGTTTACTGGCAGGGTCGGTTTGAATATCATCTTTTAAAGATGATATTTCAGGGTTAAGGAGGGGTACTGCAGGGTTAGGGAGGGGTGCTTCAGGGTTAGGGAGGGGTGCTTCAGGGTTAGGGAGGGGTACATCAGTGTCCATTGTTTCTAGACTAGGTTTTCTACTCCTAGGTACGCCTTTCGGCCAACCACCTTTCCTTTTTGTTTTCTTTCTCTTAGTGCCTTTTCGGGTGGTGCTTGTTGTTTTTGTAGTGTTTTCACTAGTTACAGACTCAGATTCAGAATCTGTTACCTGCGACAATTGTTCTTGTGATTCAGATGGTGGGTAAATTTGCTGCGTTAGTTGTGTTGTCTGGAAACAGCTCTTTAAGGCACTAATTAAATGTGGCAGTAGATTTTTTACCAATTCCTGTGTGTTTACGGTAGGAACAGGAGCGGGTGGACGAAACGTAGTTACTTGAGAGTAGGAAGTATTAGGTTTAGGGGTGTTTATGTTTATTTTTCTTTTTGCTTCTATATAAGACAGTCCTTCTTTAACTTTTAGTTCTTGGATGGCATATTCTTGTTTATACATTAAGCAATCTTTTGATCTAGCTGGATGTGGGCCTTCGCAGTTCACGCATTTTATCGGGGGTTCGCAAGGATTTCCAATATGTAAAGGTTTACCACATACGCACACTTGATCTTTAGAACAACTAATAGCTGCATGTCCAAAACGTTGACGTCTAAAACATCGAAGAGGTGATGGTATGAAATGTCGTACTTTTACTTCTTTGGGTAGCTTAGGAGTATTAAATGTTAAAATATGACTGGGTGTGTCTACCAAAATACCATCTCGTTTACTTTTAATTCTTTTAACATCGATTATTCCTTGATTTTTTAATTCATCTAAAATTTCTTGCTCTGAACAATTTAAAAGATCTTTGCAATGTACAATACCCCTGCATTGATTCAATTTAGAATGTGGTATAATTTCTACTTCATAATCTAGGAATTTCTTTATGGTTAGCATTACTTTTGATTGAGCAGCTGAATTAGTTTCAATCAGTAGACCATCTTTAATTTTCTTTAGGTTTTTGACTTGTCCGAATCTTCCATATACAAATTTCTGAATTAAGAAGGGATTTACAGTAGCAAAATCGCCTTCTTTTCTTTTGACGATCAGGAACCGAGGTTGGACCACCGTCTCCTCATTCAAATCAAGTGTATTTTGGTGCATGTTATTATTGGTTGAAGATCCAGCACCACGATCTACAACAGGGGTAATATTTGAATTATTAAGGCTCATCTAAATCCCACGAGTAGTCCTGAAAGGAGGTCCACCACCGCAGAGCAGGCTTGCGGAAGCAAGGTTACCTAAAACCGGAGGGCACCAGATATCCGGAGTACACCGTTCGCGACCAACTACGTATGGCCATTCACCAATCGGCACGGTTGTTTACACCTTAGGTTACGGGTTTTTTGAGCTGTCTTTGGCTTCACTAGTTATCCTTGACCTTAGCGGCATGGGTGGCCCTACCAGGAGTACAAGCTCCCGCCGGCATCGTTCTTGGAATCGTAGCTACTGAGCCCCTCCACCAACGTCAAGGTCTCACAGCTCCTTGGAGGGGTATTATTATTATTATTATTATTATTATTATTATTATTATTATTATTATTATTATTATTATTATTATTATTATTATTATTATTATTATTATTATTATTATTATTATTATTATTATTATTATTATTATTATTATTATTATTAATTATTATTATTATTATTATTATTATTATTATTATTATTATTATTATTATTATTATTATTATTATTATAATATTATTATTATTATTATTATTATTATTATTTTAGATGAAGCACTTAATTACAAATAATCTTTTATTCATTTATTGTATTTCAAAATAAAATAAAATTTATGTATCTGATCTTTAAATGACTTTTATTCAAAAAAAATTGTTATGTCAGATATTTCAAATATTATGTTTTTGAGTAGGAAATTGCAAGATCTATCAAAATCAAGAAAAAAAATTGGGGTTACTATTTAAAAAAATTGTCAATTACGTCACTGCCCAAAAATGGGAAAATGAAATTCTATTTAAAAAATTGCGCTTTTAGTAAACAAAATTGACCTGTCCGAGCATTTTTTCGAAAAACCACCTACTTCCATTATAATGAATTTATTCCTTTCATTTGAACCATACTGTATATAGCTTATACCGGACCTGTATGTACTCTAGTAGCCATGGAGTAGCTGACAGTGTTGCCGTCAGTTGCCGCCACATATTCATTAGTGACCTTAGATTATACAAACCTTAGATGGAACATAAGACACTGCGCATAATCCCATTTCAAAATGATTCACACCCACCAATCACAGTTGAGAACATCACATGTCAGACCGTTGTCCATCCAAATTTAATGTGTCAACGAGAATTAATTTGGTATTTTAGTGACTTAAATTTTGGAAATTAACGTTGAAAATTTATAATAAACCTGTAAAAAGTGACGGAGATAAAAGAAACTTATATTTATTTCGGTGAGATATTTAATTTTTAAAGATTCTGTCGACGTCCATATTTGTTGATTTGAAAATAAACAGAATCAGACTTGGTCATTGGTACATGTTATAAGTAGCAAATAAAGGTTATTATTATAAACTGTTTACTATTTCTTGATTCATAGGGAATATTTTTTTAGGAAGTGAAAAGAGAAACATACAATCAAATACAAAAATATCAATTTCATTGCCAATTTATTCGTTTCAAACTTCACAACTGGTTTCAATAGTTTTCTCAAAACTATTTATTTAGTAATTATCTATAACAGTGTTACTCAAAGTGTAAAGCCAAAGTTTCCGCGAAGAAAATAATCACAATAAAAAAAACAGTACTATCGCCACAAAATGGAGGGACCTGGCTTGAGGACCGTTTTTTGGGAAGTAATTTTTTTTAAGTCACTAACAGGAAGGAGGATATGATTTTGCGTTAGGACTTTTTTTTAATTAATTTTTTATGGGTGAAATGGATTTGGGATAATTTTTGCAAGGAATCTTTGGAATAAATCAAAACTAAATGATGCTCTTGTGCATTTTCAGCCTGAGTTGCCGATTAAATTATTCGTAGATGCATCAAATGTGGGAATAAGGGCCATGATATGTCATGTTTTTTAAAAAATAAAAATATTGAAAAATGTATAGCTTCTGCTTCGCGTACCTTATCAAAGTCCGAACAAAAATATTCCCAAATTGAAAGAAAGGTCCTTGCAATAATTTTTGGCTTAAATAAATTTAAAGAATATTTATATGGACATTTGCATAAAGTAGAACATTATGCAACTGATTACGAAAAGTTGATTATGTCACCAGTTACGAAATGAAAATAAATAAAACTGCCTCTTTTTTGGTTTCTAAGTTAAAAAATCTAAAAATCGTGAAATCGAGAAATTGAGAAATCGAAAAATCGAGAAATCGAAAAATCTAAAAATAAAAAATAGAAAAATTCAAAAAACGAAAAATCGAAAAAACCAAATATCGAAAAAGAGGCAATGAATAGTGACATTTCACATTTGAAAATATGACATTACGTTTAAAAACAAAAAAGAAAACAAAAAAAGAAAAGCTGTAAATTGCGTTTAATTTTTAAAATAACACCGTTATTGAAAACTGCCCAGAAATGTTGGGGGTAAAATTTTGACGTACTTCTTTAAGGATAATGGGTAAAAATGTTTTTTTTTTCAAATTTCTCGCGGGTAATGTCAAAAATTAGATCGGCAACACTGCACATGTCCCTTATTTTTATTATTGCTATTGAAAAAAAAAACGTCGTAGGGCAATCAAATACAACAATTTTCTAAAATATTTGATTGGAAGTACCTACACAAGAATGATGGTGAATCATTTTTCAACACAATTTTATAAATAATCAAGTCAAAATTAGAAAAAATCTTGTATAGAAACACGTTACGAAATGCCGTTTTGTGTAAGTCGTTCATGTTGCGGGAACTCGCTCCGCTCGTTCTGCAAATATTTACTCGTTACACAAAATAAGGCATTTCGTAACTGGTTACATAAATAACTATTAATTGACTTTCTAATATTTTAATTCATTGAACGGTATTTTCCGTAAATAATTAAATCATAAATATTTACCAGGATATAAGTACCAAAACATTTTTTTCTCTTAGAACAGTAGGCCTATGTCAAATAAACTTAAAATATTATAACGAACGAAAAGGTAACCCATTTCTAATAAAATTTAGTTATTTATTTTATTTTGGTGTGATCGTAGAAAAAAACTTGTGTGTAATTCGAGCAAAAAGTACTTATAAACTTTTACTTAGGGTCGATTTCACCGTTTTGTTAAACGAAGTTTAAAATACTAAACGAAGATTAAAATTACATTTTTATATTAACAAAAACGAAGTTTAAATTACTAAATGGAGTTTAAAATGACATTTTTACATTAACAATGTCATTTTAATCTTCTTTTAATAATTTAAACTTCGTTTAACACAACGGTGGAATCGGCCCTTAGCTAGTTATATATTGATAAAGTGTTATTGCCCTCGTCATACATGAATCGTGCTAACAAATAAAGTCAAACAAACGTCTCATAATTTTTCATCTTTTAATTACCCACCAAAATTAGGTACTACAATACAAATATTTAAGTCCGGCCCAGAACATCTCCCTACTCCTTTCACCCAGTTTTTCGGTTTTGGCAAAATTCGCGCAGCGAGAAATGCTTCCTATGTTACCTCTACCCTTTCTAACCTCTTTGTTAGTGACACACGTTTTATAAATTCATCGTGTTATAAATTTGTTGACATAAAGAGATAGAAATTTAAAGTGACGTCTTTTATTACTTCGAATGAAAAAAATCGATAATGCAATTTTCTAACTTAAAAAAAATCGTGATTATATGTCAAACAAAATTGAACTTGGCCCTAAGTTCTGTTTATAAATACGGGCCTTAGGTAAGTCGACCTTGAACTAAAATAGAAGTTCGGTTATATTGCGTGAATTTAGAGATGGGCAGTGACAAATCCGTAAATACACTTAAGAGGAAAATTTACATTACAAACTGAAAGACCTGCGGGGCAACGGTAGTTTAGTAGGTATAAAAATTACAACTTAAGGGTGGAGCCTAAATACTACAAAATTACTTCCGAGACTAAACAAAATCCGCATTCATTCATAATTTTAACAATTGCCTGTAGATACGAGGGATACGTATTCCAAACTCTAACGCGCTAAGTTGAGACTCATAGGAACCTAAAAATCCTACAACGGCTGCCGACAGACGTTCATCAGTTCTTGTTCTTGAGTGAGTCAGAGTTACCTAAATTAGGGGAACCAGAATCGTATTTGTTTTTCTCGGTGCATTGCGAGATATTGTTACAACGCAGTTCGATTTTATAGAGGGTTTTACATTATTTTTATATTTTAATTTAGTGAATAGGTTTAGTTAGATTAAATTAGATTTAAGAGTATAGAATTGTGAAATATAAATACAAATAACGAAAAAATAGACGTTGGTTCGAATAAGGTAATTTAATACAGGGTATTTATTAATTAAGTGCCGATACTTAAGGGTGTGAATCCTTGGGTGTTAAAGTTTTAAGAAAAAAATAACTATTTTATTTTGCCCAAAAAAAAAGTGTTTCCACCAAATTTTAACAAAATATCAAAAGCAGTTTCAATAAACTGGTTTTTATTTTCTTACGCGAAAAGGGTGCGTCGTACGAAAGTACGTCTATAAACCAAATTTGCTACAAAATAAATAAGGATTTTAAAGATAATTTTGGTTTTTAGAAGAAGCAGTGGCGTACCATATTTTTGTTTAAAAATATTCAGTTCAAACCCGGTACGGACGTCACTAGTAAAAATTTAGAAGTCTTTTACGACAAAAAGGCGGGATTGAAAGTGAAAGTTTAGTCTGTTGGTACATAATATACTATATTTATATATCTAATTTTTATTATTACACTGAATGTGACATGGCTTTTTTGCTTGCCGTTTTTGGATTAACAAAATATTATTTTAATGATTTAAAATAAACTGCCAGTAATAATAATTATCTGTACTTAAACATATACAAAGTGTTCATAAAACGACGCATCAAGAAAGCACCAAATTATTAAACTTTTAATTTACGTAACAAGTATTAAAAGTAATTTTAAAAAACCGACTTTAAAATCGTGCTGATGCCATCACCACATCTTAACCAAATTTATATGGGACCACCCCTGAGGTACCCCCTTACTAACGAAAAGAATTATAGAAA